CCCCCAGCCTTGGGTTGATGAAGGAGCCCATAGGAGGGGGCTGGCAGCTGGAGCATCCCTCAGCTCTCTCCTCTCCCCTGCTGCCAGCCCAGACATCCCTGGAGGAAGTCTTCATCCTCCAAGACTACCACAAAGCTCAGCTTCTTCCTCGCAGACACCTCAGGACCAGTGATAAATCGCTCCAAAATGGAGTAGCAAGAGGAGCCAGCCCACCGGGGCATCGCTGGGGGAGCAGCGGCAGCAGGGCCCGCTGATATCCTCAGCTCTCTCCTCTCCCCTGCTGCCAGCCCAGACATCCCTGGAGGAAGTCTTCATCCTCCAAGACTACCACAAAGCTCAGCTTCTTCCTCGCAGACACCTCAGGACCAGTGATAAATCGCTCCAAAATGGAGTAGCAAGAGGAGCCAGCCCACCGGGGCATCGCTGGGGGAGCAGCGGCAGCAGGGCCCGCTGATATTTGGAGTTCCCCTCGTTGACTGTTGCAGTAACTCAGTCCTGCAGCAGGGCCGGGAAGCGCCCCCCCCACCCAACCTCCCTTTCTAAGGCCTCGCTGAAGCCATCTTCAAGCCGACAGCACCGCAGGGATGCGCGTACAAACCACCGAGACACATACGGGATCTTGTCTACGGAAGAGGTGATGGCAGAGACAAACTTGTCTGTCATCGTGAGAAGGTTGCGGATAGAAATATCCAACCGTCTTTGGACCTCAGGGTGGCTGAGAGCCTGCTCAGGGCTGACCTCGTACGGGAGCTTGCTGTGGGTGGAAAACAAGGTCCACATCACCATCCCAACACCCATCACCTTGCGGTTGGGCTAAGCCTCCTCGCCCACAACCTGACCTTTTCTGCCCACTCTGTGACTCCATCTGGTTGATCCAAGCCTTGTAGATGTCCACAGGGTCGGTGCGGATACTGAGGGTCTTGTCCTGCAGGACCTCCTGCACCGGGCCAGCCAGGATCTGCCGCAGGGCGTTCTGCCCACGTGCATTGCGGTAGAAGCTGACCACCAGCCGGATCACCGTGGCGTTCCCCGTCAGGATGTCATGGACGTGGTCCACCTTGGACCTGGGGGGAGAGATGGGATGGATGGAGTGAAGGGGATGGACCGGCGTGTTCTCCAACGCAGGAGGCAGCAGCCAGAGACAACCTCATCCCAGCTGGTGCCCCTGGTTCAGCCTCTTCCCAGACCTGTCCCCAAACCAGGGCACCCGTGGCCACCCACCTGATCTCCTCCTGTAGTGCTGCTTTGAAGAGCTGGAGCAGCAGGTAAGCCTCCCGCGGGTTGGACGCGTAGTTGTAAAGTGTGAAGATCACTGACTCCATGAACTTGGTGGACTTGTTCTGGGGCATCTGGAAGATCAGCCTGGCCAAGTACACGGGCTGTGTCTGCAGGGACGAGGAACATCCAAGCTAACCTCAAGTGTGGTGGGGTGGCAGGGTCCCGGGCACTGCTGCCCCAGCTGTGCTGGCCACAGCAGAGCCCCACCAGCCCCACCTGCAGGAGGTAGAAGAGATGCTGGTAGGCCTCCAGCTTCTGCCGCTTTTCCTTGCTGAGCGACTTGAGCCCCTTCTGCTTCTCTATGGACATCATCTCCGAGAGCTGCTCCTTGTTCTTCTTGGTCAGCTTCTTACAGTGGGAGACCACCTCCTGGAGCCGCGTGGGCAAGGAGACAGAAGCATGGGTGACTGCTCCCCAACCCCTTCAACCACTTTAAAAGCAAAGGGGAGAGAAGTTCAAGCTGTGCGGTCAAGGAGGGGAGGACCAGCTCCACGCCAGCTGAACAAGTTTGGGCGCTGCAGCAAAGCCACACAAGGTGGCCCAGGTCCTCCCCCCATCACCACGCTCCCCACCTGCAGGGTGATCCTGTTCTTGACCAGCAGCCCGATCTTGATGTCCATGAGGTCCAGGTCACTCTCCAGCTGCCGGCTGGCACGGATCCTCTTCACCACCTCCTCCTGCAGCCGCAGCACCTCCGACTCCTCCCAGAAGTCGTGCTGGCTCTGCTCCAGCAAGTGGACAAAGCGCCGGACGATGCTCAGCGGCGGGCTCCTGGCGTGGACTGCAGCAAGGCACGGTGCCACCATGAACGCTCGCGGGGAAGACCGAGC